GCACTGAGTAAAGTATTTTGAATATAAATATATCTGCACATCCTCTTTGTTCTTTACACGGCTCAAAAGCCAGCAGTGTCCTTTTGTATTACCCTTCAAGCTTGCTGCTGAACAAAAGGCCTGGACTGGATTTGAATACATCAGAACTCCTGTGAGGGTCCCTGGCCAGCAAGAGGCCACAAGGTGGGGGTGGGGTGTGCTCCGAATAGCAGCTGCCCCAATGAGAGATGGGAGGAAGAATGATGCAAATCCTTTCTCTTCTGAGCTGCTGGCCTCATTTCAGGCAAGTAATTTGTTTCTGCAGGATTAACCACCTCTACCCCCAAAACTATGTAATCTTTCCACGTACAGATGCCACCAATATCTTTGTAGGTCAATTACTTCTACTGACAAAATTATTATATAACCAAGATACCTTAAAGAAATTGGGTAAAGATGTAGATACACACAAGAATTCAACTAGATAATATATTCCTTTCAAAGTGTTAATAAAAATGATCCTCTCAAAAACAATTCTCTCAAAAACAACTCAATGCAAGTATGTATAAACTACATATATAGGAGTAATGATCCTTTTAACACAGGCTTTGGGAGCAAGAGCAAACAAAACAAAATCTGATATGAAATATTTCTCAAAATAACTATCTTTCTTTTCCCTACTCTCCAGAAATGTATAGGCATTTCATGGTGGGAAAACCTGGAGCTTAAAAAAATAATAAGAACAGAAAAGGAGGAAACAAAGACAAAAATAATCTAAGGTCAGGTGCCAGTGATGTTCTTTTGTCCCTACATCTTTTTCCATACTTATAATTTTCCCAGTATGTGATGCGACTCTAACCTTTTCAGTTGGTCAGTAAGCACAATGCTGGACCCCAAGGGCAGGTGCTTTGACAGGCTGAGAGAATGGAGGACCTACCTCAGAATCCAGGTCCCACTGACTTTCCATGTCCCCCTCCTGGAGAGCAGGGAGAGGCTTTCTGCAATGTTCCTGCATCTGCCTAAAGTCTGGACCCACTAGACAAAAACAATTTCTTTTGGTCCCTTCCCCGAGCCTTGAATAACTCAACTCATATCTCAGGAAGCAAGAAGTCTGTCAACACCCCTGGACAGTTTTGTCACACACCACTGTCCTCTATTTTGGTCTCATAGAGAAATTTTAACAAACCACTGCCATTCTATGGGCCAAACACTTTTTCCTTGGCCACTGCCTGTTCTCCAAGCCCATCAAGGTCCCTAGAAATCATTTTCCATTCCCCTAGAAAGGTCTACGTCCCCATTCTCATCTCCTGTACAAAAGGAGGTATGTGAGGTACATAATGTTGAGACTGTGGCTGATCCTACTCTTCTGATTCTCCTCCATGCTGTGACTTTTCCCCTTCTGCATGTAAATAAGTTTGTTCGCCTTTTCTCCTAATTACTCTTTCTCAGTTTATTCCAGTGAACCTTCAGAGGGCAGAGGGGAAATCTGCCTCTGCCCCTACAACACAGTGATTTTTAAAAGGCTAAAATGTCATGGCAAATCGGTCAATCAGAGATAATATAAACTGGTCCACACTATCTGCAATCTTCTCACGTTTGTGGTCACTTGGTATTTGGGATGGATTTTTTTTTTCTACCTGTGGTATATGCTTGCTCCATATGTATTCGTATGTTGCTTGTATATTCCTCACTGTATGAGTGTCAAATACTACAAATACTGACAAAGCAATTAGAAAGCATTTTGACTGGATCACAGAGAGAGGTAGTTGAGATTTTAGAATCTGTGAAGAATACTCCCTATCTGCATGTGCTTATGAAGCAGAAAACCTGAAGAAATGCGTGACCCTGTGGCCTTGGAAATAGGGGGACAGAAGTTAAAGAGGACACAGATAAACATCCTATAATCCAAAACTTTATCTAAGAACAGCTCTGAGAGCAAGAAATGGAGAATTTCTTTTTTCCACAATGCCTTTGTACTCCACCTTCTTCACCTCATCTTCCCCCCTCAATCCAGAATTCAGTACATTACTTGTATTATACATGTATGTTATGGGCTAACTAGGCTTTTGTGGGTTAAGCTGATACTATAAGACATAAAGAGGACAAAATATGACGGTCTCAGGAACTGGGATTCTCAAGGCAGAAACATGAGGTCTCTGACAATTGGATGTGGATAATATAAAAGTGAACTTTTAAAAATGTTTGTATTTTTCAGATGGGGTCTGGCTATGTTGCCCAGGTTGGTCCTGAACTCTTGAGATAAAATAACACTCCCACTTTAGCCTCTCAAGCAGTTCTTTTTAAAGGTGGTGCTAAGGTTTCAATCTAGTTAATTCAGGACTCTTAACTGCTGTTAGGCCAAAGTAAAGATGGAGATTTGGCTGCTGTGAGAGTGTGGTCTTTTCAGTCATGCTGCTTTTTGGGGGCAGAGGAGGCAGCAACAGGGCTATGGGTGCACTGCTTCTCTCTGCAGTGGGTCAGGGAAGGCCTCATAGCTGAACTGATGTCTCAGGAGAGAAACAGTGTGTGACAAGTTAAATTAGAGTAATGACCTTGGGTTAGGGTTTGTTGGGAGCAATGCTACATAATTCTAGGGAAAAATCATTTGGTTAGCCTAGTTCTCTTGCCTACAGCCCAGCTACAGAATAACTCCAGTTTGGCCTCCGGTCACAACTGAGACTTCAGTGATCCAGTGATGCTGTGATTCTCCAGGACAAGAAACATCCTGGGAGAACAAACATCTGCTCAGTTCCTTGTTGTTCTTAGACTGTTAACATCTTGTTTACCCGAGATGTACTGAACTCTCTGCAAGCCTTTTGTTACACCTTGTTTATCCCAATGTGAACTACTGAACTCTCTCCAAGTCATTTGTTACATTTGTTTCTCCCGATGTACTGAATTCTCTGCAAGTCATTTGTTATGAGGTACTGAATAAAAGGTGTGGTAAACTGGGGGCTTTTGTCTTTGCCGCCCAGAGCAGCACGGATCAGACCCAAAGCTCAGCTTCTTCTCAGTCTCATTTGTCTACCTTTCCTGTAATTCGCCGTGTGCTGCCGTGGCTCGCAGGAGACCAGGACTCACTGCAGAGGTTCTGGTAACGTCCCCTTCCCCTGTTCCCTACAAGGGTTATTTGAAGGAGGTAAAATATACCTCTTTCTCACATAAGTGTAAAATTGTTTTTGGTCTGCTAGTAAACAAAATGACATGTATAGTACTCTGAGAGTTCTGCCTAATTAGCATCTTTCCACTCGAGGTATAGATCACGATTGAGCAGCCTTTTCACAGAACACATCTGCTCCTTCTGTGACTTGCCATTTTTATTATGATGAAGTTTAAACAGTGATTGTGATACCAGAGCAAATGACTATACTGGTATTTATACTACCTAGTACTGATATCTTTTTATTTAAAACAATAAAATTTGGTCAGTATCATCTTTGACATTTTATTGGATTTGAAAAAAATGTCAAGTTCAAAGCCAAGCTTCTGTCCTTCCAGTTTGAGTATCTCCAGGTAGAACAGTTGGAGAAAAGGATTTCGTTAAAAAAAAATTATCCCCAGGAAGAGAATGGTTGTCCTACTGGAGGAAGCGCTGGTGAGGGGTAGAGGGAGCTGTGCCATGGGGAGGAAGGTGGCCAGCTCTGGAGAAAGGACGGAAGTACAGCTGGGACCTTCTTCGCCCTTCCTTCTCTCAGATTCCCTTGCCCACTCTCCTTGTGCTCTTTGTAGTTCTCTCCCTTTCCAACTCCAATTCTAAGCCATCTCCGTCACATCTACAAGCACATCGGAGCCCAAGCTGGCTCTGAGAAAAATACAATTAAAAGAAATTCTAAAAGACGTCAAACTGCAGTAATAACCTGAGAGTGGGAATTAAAACATAGATATTTTGAAAAGGTCTTGAACTGGAGTGGAATGAGGTACTTAGACTGCTTTTTCTAACCATCTGCACACACATTTGCTTGATTCTAGATTTAAAAACAGCATAACCTGCTCAAGATGTAAATGACTGAGCTTTCAAAAAATTATTTCAATCAACAGAGGTACTGCATTGGTATCTAGCATTTAAAAGTAGCACGGGATACTGAAATAACTAAAATTGCTATTATAATTATTAATATAAATAGCTGTTTCCCAATGGTCAGCATATATTTAATAAAACCTAAAGTTTGTACTTCAAATATGAAAGCTACACCATCCCAGGATACTATATTTAAGATTAAGTCTGTGCTTAATTCTAAGCATGCATTAAAATATCCTCCTAGTACTTGTATCCTTTTATTTTTTTTTTTTTAAAAGCAAGGTTATTTCACCATCATCTGTGTGGGGCTGGGCCCAGGAATAAGTATTTTTGAAAGCTTCCTTAGTGATCCTGATACATACTTCTGGTTAAGAGTTACTGTTTTAGAGATGTTACATATTATTACACTCAACTTCTAATGCACTCCACTTGGCTGTGGTAAAATTTAAACTCTCACATGCAAAGCTGCTTTGCTTACAAACCCATTTTGTAATGTCATCATCATCTGGAGTTTGTTTTCGTAAGTTTCACAGTAGCAATTGAAAGACATTTAAACTTCCCTTCCACACCACCTTGAAGTTACTCAAAACTAATCAAGTGCGAGTTTAAAAGGCAATAGATTTAGAGGTTGGCTGGAAAAGAGGAGTTTTCTTTAAATAGCAGACCCACCCATCTACAGCATGGAATAAGGAATAGGCAGGAGTGAAGTTAGGATAGAAAGGGGAAGCTGTCTGGTTATCAGATTCTTCCTGAAACAGGTCCTTATGGTACGGCTTCATTAGTTTATTTACATAGATGAGAACTCACTGTGTATTCTCATGTTCAGATGGGAAAAAAAAAATTACCTCAATATTTATTTTCAAATCATGAATAGTTTTTATGCAAGTTATCCCTATTAATAATTAAAAATTAAGAGCTCATTTTACTATTTGGATATCACAAGCTATCTTAAATTCAATTTATTTTCCATCTGCACATTACACAAAGTTATAAAACGACATACCTTGGGTCAAGAAGACTCCTCAAAAATTTAAAAAGCAATACCTGGTTCTGAAAGGAGAAACAAAAAATACAATTAAATATTAAAACAAATTTTCCAAATTATACCATAGTAAAGAACTACTCTAGGCAGTTCCTTTCAAATGCACAGATCTGACTATTTCCATTAAGCCTCTGTAGAGATCTAAGGAATTCCAAAGAATCATCTGGAGATCCTTGATGTCCTCTCAATAGTTCTAATCACTGTCACACATTCAATTTTGAATGGAGGAGGAATATACCTCACTATCCTTTAAAAAGGCCTGTAATGAGACACATCACTGAGCTATTCCCAGCACAAGAACCTTAGAGAGGCAGTGGTGGGTGCTTTGAACCACTCTGCTAAAATTATTAATTCAGTAAGCTACTCTTGTTATCCTGTGAAACCAAGGTTGTGTGATGTGAATTCTGAGTTCTAGCTGCAATGCCTCCTGGTTACAATCACCTGCTGGGAGACAGTTAATCCAGGCAGGGTTTAAGGCTCAAGTTAAGAGCCACCACCAAAACAAACCCATTATCTCCACAGTATAGTCAAATACATAAGAGATGACGATCAAACCAAAACATGCTAGCAATCAATATGCCATAATACCTGGGTTTTGCCCCTGACACTGAAGAGCTATGTGACTTTGTACTGTCACTTACCCTTTCAACATTCAGTTTCCCTATGTGGGAAAACCCCAGTAACATCTTGTCCACCTTTTGCACAGGGTGGTGGTGAGGGTTAAATGAGATAAACCTTCTTTAACTACATAAATATAAATAATGTTTTTAAGTTCTTGGGAAGCCTACACAAAAAGTTATTGTTTGGCTTTCCTCTTTTCTTGACACATTCAAACTTTACCTCTAAGAGCAGAGAACTTCCAAAGTGAAAAGGATTAATGTCATTTAAAGAATGATATTTTAAAAACAAAAACATATACATAAATGGTTGATGATTTAGCTCAGTGGTGCTGGCTGCCTGACTCGTGAGCTCAAGGTCTTGAGTTCAATCCATGGTACCCCCCCTAAAA